ATTAGATGTTTTAACATTTGTTGAAAATTGTACAGATTAAAGGGGAACAACGGCACACAGAGGAAGTATTATTATTATAATTTGAGTTGATAGGGACAAAGGGGCACCTCATTGTTTCTCGATCTCCATGGCCGCCATGACCCATTCAATTTGGGTTGCATGTATTTTGTGATTGGACCTTCAAAGCAGAGAGTCCAGAAGGGGAAGGGGCGCTCGTGCTGGGGATATGTCAGCAGCGGCAGCCACCCTCCTCTCTTCTTCTCTCATTCACGCCGACACGCTCTGGTTTCTCATTCAACTTACGGCACCTTCGTCGATGCAGTCAAACTCCTTTATCGCTTTCACTTTTTTTTTTTTAATTTAATTTCGTTATATTTCTTTTGAGCAGTCTTTCCTGAACTCTTAACCATGGTAAATAGCCATGTGCACAATACGCCCCCTGTGGCTGAATTCAAAATATGTTACGCAATTTCCATTCAATTGCGAATCTTTCTTTATTTTGTAAGCACAGAAAAATTTGGAGAGAAGGGGACAAGCGCGTATTAGTTTTAAGTTAAATGCTTAACTAATTAATGCATATCAAAATTTCATATTCATGTGTTAATTATTTATGAAAATTATTAATTATTTATGGTTTTGTCAAAGGTAAAAACTTATATTAAACCCTCAAACTTATTTTAGATTTTTAATTAAATTCTTAAATTTTTATTAAAATAAATAAATCCCCAAACTTAATAATTTAAACAATTTAATCATTTTTTTTTATAATAAACTTAATGCTTATTTATGCTTTACTTACATAAATAAAATTAATATTTACCACATATGTAATAATATGTTAATATCTTATTTATGCAAATAAGATATAAACAAATATTAAGTTTATTAAAAAAAATAAATTACTCATATTACTAAATTTAAGCCATATTTATTTTAATAAAAATTTAAAAATTTAATTGTAAATCTTATGTAAATTTAAAGATTTATCGTAGAGTTTTGCCTTTTTAAGTACAACCCCCATGGCTTACCTTTTTTCTTGCTTGACATCAATTGGCTTAGCTCATATAAGTGGGGTTTTACTGATTTTATAAGAAAAAATTATTCATATGTTATGTGATCGATTCAAGGATCATGTTCAT